GGGGGAGACTACCTACGCCGATGTAATGCGGGCGGCCAGGGATAGGATTAACCTGGAAGACCTGGGAATCACGGACCTTCGGCCCAGAAGAGCCCGCACTGGGGCGTTTATGTTAGAGATCTCAGGCGGTGCGGAGGGCGCTGCCAAGGCGGACGCCCTGGCGGCCAGGCTGCGACTCGTATTGGCCGATAAGAGGGACGTTCTCATCTCCTGGCCCACGAAGATGGCGGAGGTGAGAATTAAGGACTTGGAGGACTCGGTCACTCCGGCCGAATTGATCGACCACGTGGCTACGGCCGGGGGGTGTAATCCCGCCGATATAAGAATGGGCGAGATAAGGAGACCGCCCAGAGGATTGGGCACGGTATGGTTTAGGTGCCCGCTCTCCGCGGCAATTCCGCTTACCAAGGAGGGCAAGACCACCATAGGGTGGACGACCGTCAGGACGGAGCTCCTCCCCTCTCGGGCGCTCCAATGCTTCCGTTGCCTAGAGATGGGGCATGTGGGGGTGGAGTGCTCGGGAGGGACAGACCGTAGCAAGCTTTGCTACCGGTGTGGGACGGAGGGGCACGTCGCGAGGACATGCACTGCCCCTGCGCGGTGCGCGGTGTGTGCGGACGCGGGTCTGACGGCGGCGCATCGGGACGGGTTACTTCCCCCGAAGGCCCGGGTATGAGTAACGCATTTCCCCAGCGTTAACAAAAAAAAAAGGTAGGATAAGTTCCCCCGTGCGTGGAAGGCCTTGTCGTGGCACTGGGGCTCACCCTGGTTCCTCTTGGGGATCCGGGGTGCCAACATTCCACAGTACGGAGTCCCTCGTTAAATAGAGGGACTCTGTACACTAGGGTCCGGCGTCCCAAGGATCCTCTATGCTCTTTGGAGCGTGGAGGATCTGGAGGAACCATTCTTTTTTAGGATGGGACTTTACTACGCCGGTAGGAGAAGTAAACTCCGACTACAAATCCCGGTGACACGGCACCGTTAGAAGGACTGCTCCCTTCCCGTGGGTGGAGTGGTGGGCTTCCACCAGGGTCTCTGGGCCTGCGGGGCCTCTTCCCCCTCTTCCCTTCAGGGGGAGAGGGGGGGGGCTGCTCGTGTGGGTCTGGAGGCCAAAGGGACGACGCAGATTTATATCTGCAGGCGGGCTCTGGTACGCCATTGAGCCCATGCCAGATAAGGTTGCGAATGTCTGGAGTGGGAACTTCCCACATTGCACCCAGCCATTCACCACCAGGCTTGCCCAGTGGGTGGTCGTTCTTCATGAACTACTGCCCATTGCACACTGAGTATCTCTGGTGGAAACGCGGTTAAAGGGCGATGCATCGGGTCGCCACTCGGGCGAAAGGGGTGCCGCCTAGAAGTCGTGGGTGAGTGAAAGATACATTGAATTATTCAGGTATAGTCCTGATAACTAACGGGGAAGAGGTTAAACAACTTAGAATATGACTTCATGTTCGGGCGGTTTTGTCCGTCGTGGGACATGGAGTGTCTTGGAAAGAGATTCTAGCTAGCGTTGATCATGAGCGTTGAATATAGACAGAGTCTCCCCTGGGCGTTTGCCATTGCACGTGGGAGTCTCTGG